TCTTCATCATGGTGGATCGTCTTTGAGCGCCAAAAGGAAAAACCATTATATTTTGATATTCCTTAAATCTCCCTCCCTCTCTCTCTCTCTCTCTCTCTCTCTCAACAATTATACATGTGAACAAGAGTGGATATTTAAGGAGATTTTTTTTTTAATGTGCGACATTTTCTCACATGTTGTATATATATCACAAGGTGGGTCCATTACATAAAATTCTAAATTTAAATTAACGTTTTAGACAGGATAAACAGCTGGTTATTAGGCACTGCATTTGCCCTGCCCCTACTTAGATCACACACACATATACGTACATATATATATATATATATATGTTATTTGCGTCAGAGAAATAGATACGAAGGTCAATGGATTGGTAGAATCAACGGAGGCTTTCATTCTCCGATGTGTTCTGACAAGATATAAAATTAGTTGGATAATAGATGCGTTTGGAGCCAATTAATTAATGGGTAAAGGGAATAAATAATTTTTTATTATTATTATTATACGGAAATGAAATATCATATATAGTATAGTATAGTACTGACGGGTAGACAGCATATAACTTAATGGGCATGGATCTCGCCGACGCACGCACGCATGCATCCATTCCATTCCATGCAATATATTCTTACACGTTTGTAGATCCATCTATACTGTGTTTTCGATTTTATTCATTTATTATTATTATTATTATTAAACAAATACTATAAACATAAAAAAAAAAACTTTATCTTTTATACCGTCGCCATAGAAGCACTCACATGGCTTTGGCGATAACAATTAAATGCCTGCAACGTTTGAATATGTAAAAATGTATTTATATATACACAATTTTATTCACAAATTCAGCTAATACACAGAGGGCACGCGTAGGATATATGCATAGAGCCCTAAGATGGAAGAAAAAAAATGGAATTTTTCTAAGATAAAGTAAAGTTTCGTTGTTTGGCCTGTGGCCTATATATATATATATATATATGTGTGTGTATAACTCTTTGACCTGCCCTAGGCTATTATACAAGGAATTTTCGTTAACTTCTTCTTAGGCAAGTATTCTCCCGATATATATATCCAAATCAAGTCCCTAAATTCATGAATATTAATTTTCTGGAATCAGCATCGATTTGCATTCTTTATCACGACCCTTTCTTTGCACCCATATTTTTAAAAAAATATATGAAACCAAATAAATGAAAGCCGACAAGCTTTTGAGTCAACTTCTAAAAAGGTTTTAAAATGTGAAAGCCAGAAAAATGAAAAGAAAAATAGATAAACTCGTCGAAAAGAAAATTGTTTTTGAGGCATGAAAATTACATAATAATAATAATAATAATAATAATAATAATAATAATAATAATAATAATAATAATAATAATAATAATAAATGTGTAGAGATTTATAGGCATCGAGATTTGAAAAAAAGGAAAAAACACAAGAGCAAAACGAAAGGCAATGATGTCCTTCGAGTAATTAACATGACGCAGAAACCGATAATCAAGGCTTTTTACTCTCTAGTTTCAATGTTCGTTCATTAGAGTTTAAGACAAAAGAGTGTTAATTTCCCGATATAGGAGGTTAATGAGCCCTTTTTAATTAATTAATTAATTATCCGTATTTCTTTAGCCTAGGGTTTTAAAAATCCAAACCATAATTAATTAAATGTGCGGCAAGAACTGCAGTATTATTTATTTTGTATAATTCTAGATCAGAAAAAAAAAAATCACTAATAAATTCATAAGTTATTTATAAGTTATAACTCATTTTCGATACCTTCCTCTTTTCACATAAATTTTACAACAAATAATTTCATTGTAGCAAATATATATGCTTCTTGATATTTTACACACACACACACACACACACATATATATATATATATATTTGTTTAATAATGTATGATTTATCGGAATGGTCAAAGGGGGAATTTTTACAGTGAAAGGTGATGTGGAGAAGATATAAATTAAAAACGTAAATTAGATTAGGAAAGGAATATTTGGGAGAATGCAAAAGAGATTTATTATTAGAAGCAAAATCTATGGGTTCTTAGGGCTTATGTGTTCCTCCCTTCACACAGGAAACAAACAAAAAACACTTTGCGGGTGGGTCGACCTCTTAGGTCAATGTGTCTACATATATATAATATATAGTAGCTTCATGTCATGTACGCATACATACATACATACATACATACATACATACATACATACATACATACATACATACATACATACATACATACATACATACATACATACCCCCTCGACTATCTATGCGATTCTACAGAACCATACAAGTCACTTTGTAAAGACCGGACGAAATAAAGTATTCTCAGAATTTGGCTTTATGTTAAAAAAAAGATTTTTTTTTATATTGTCATATTTATACAGACGCTTGGAAAGTTTGTTCATTTAAAAATGCGTTGTATTATAATATCATTTGCCTCGTGTGGGTGCATTAATTTAAACACATATATACAGAAAATTATATTCTTATTATAATGTAAGCTATACTCGACTGTACAGTTAGGGTAACAATATGTTAATTTCATATTGCAATATTAGAAATTAAAATATAGTAACTAGTATCACCCAGAATCTCATGCAAAATGCATACAGAAATGCAAGTACATAAGATATTAATTTATGAACCGACGGATGGAAAATATTTCAAAAATAAAATAATTAATCGATATATCTTTTTATATATGAAAAATGTAGACCGACATTCAAGAACCGTGTGGACGATATAACAAAAACTCATGTAACAAAACAAGTAGGGACTACAAGGGGCACTTGAAATTAGTGATTTGTTTTAACATTTTGGGTATATATTAATTAGTACAAAATACTGTAAAAATACCATACAAGAAAATTAAATAAGCATTAAATAAAATAATGTCGAAAGAGATTGTCACGTAGGTGGAATCAGAGCAGAGACACATATTTATCCCGTCGTCTCCGGGGTACCAATATCAAAGCACGATCACCACTTATTATTATTATGATTATACGTACAATACGATATAACGTATTATTTTTATTTATTTATTTACTTGTGTTTGTTTCTTTTCTGTTGTTTTTTTTTTAGTCTATAGGTAGATAGGACAGGGGAGAGAGAGACCTTTATTCTCTCTCCTCCTTTACTCGAGCATTTAAATTTCCTTTGCAAATACATTCTGAAAATTTTCATATTTATATATAATATATGTAATGACGTAGAAATAATACTTGGACAGTCAGACTTTTTGAAGGGGGGAAATCACTGTTTTATATTAAAAGAAATTAATTCCAAGGACCCTTATGTTTGGTCAATGCAAAAATAATCTCTGTTCGATTTTGTAAATAAAAATTTTGGAATTCCATATAATATCATTTAAAAATTCATTCTCCCCGTATATATATATATATATATATATACGTGACACGTGGAAACAATAGGCAATCAAACTAATTAAGCATTCAATACATACGAAAACCTCTTTCTTTTAATTACCAAAAAAAAAAAACCTCTTTCTTTTAAAATTTTTGGTCCCGAAATTATCGGTGTACTTATAAGGGGAGAGAGAGAGAGAGAGAAAACTCAATAAATATGCAACCACAAAAATGTGGAAAGAGTATTATGAGTATGTGCAGTTGGGATAAAAGTACAGTTTTACCCTTCATCAACTGTCGCTTTCCAAGATATACTCTCGAGGAAGAACATCTCACACACACATCTCTCTCTCTCTCTCTCTCTCTCTCTCTCTCTCTCTCTCTCTCTCTCTCTCTCTCTCTTGCATGCTTTTTCCTGGATTTCGTTTTATTCCTTTCTCTCTTTTGCCTTTGCTTCAAAACACACATCTCTCTCTCTCTCTGAGCATGTTTGTTTTGTTCGTTCAAGAACATTGAACTTCTTCTTCTTCTTCTTCTTCTTCTTCTTCTTCTTCTTCTTCTTCTTCTTCTTCTTCTTCTTCTTTAATTAAGCTCTCTCCTTTGGGTCTCCGTTCTTTTCTTTTCAGTAAGAAAGAGAAAATACAGAGAAGAAAAGAAAAATCAAATCTTTATAATTCTGATACATATATAGAATCTCTCTTTTGACTTCTTTGATTAAAGAATCCATTGTTGAGAAGCAAACATGCCCCAAGAAGAAGGGGTTTTCATCCACAAGCCAAAATCAGACGACAATCCCACGATTCCCGATCTCTCTCTTCACATCAGTCTTCCTGATAATGTTAATAATCTTCCCTCCAAGTCATCAGGATCTTCTCCGAGATCCCATCCCGACCACAACATCAGCAGAATCCAACTCTCCTTATCTCATCCGGCAAGCAACTCAAGATTCTTCCATGGCGTTCTTGACACCGATGACCACACCACCTCTCATCATCATCGTCGTCACCAACTTCTTAATCAGCAATATTATCCCCTCAATGGCGGCCTTCACGGCTTGGATCGCCATCAGATTAGCCAAAGGGTTTCGACCATGATTGATGCTCCTTCGACCTCCGAGAATCTACACCGTCCGATCAGGGGTATCCCGGTCTATCACAACCGTTCATTCCCTTTCTACCATCAAATGCCCTCTCCATCATCATCATCATCATCATCATCTTCTCCCTTGCCTTGCTTTGGTGGAGAGTTGGATCAAGATTCGATCTTGAACTCGAGCAATCGGCCTTTTCAGGGTTATAATAACACGTATCGGTTACAAGGCTCTTCCAGGCTCAAAGGGGTTGTTTCTTCTATAGAGGCATTGAAATCATCACATCATTTGCATCAAAATCATCATCACCATAATCATTATGGAATTGGATCCTCGGATTCTTTGTCTCATGGAATGGTTAGATCGAGGTTCTTGCCTAAGCAACCGACCAAGAGAAGCATGAGAGCTCCGAGGATGCGTTGGACGAGTAGTCTCCATGCTCGATTCGTTCACGCCGTTGAACTTCTCGGTGGCCATGAAAGTATATATATATGCATATATTATTCTCTCATTATCAGCATCCATCTCTCATCTCTTTCCTCATAGAAAAGAAGAGATTTTGTTCTAACCCTATTGGTGAATTCGGTGTAGGAGCAACTCCGAAGTCGGTTCTCGAGCTCATGGATGTAAAAGACTTAACCTTAGCTCACGTGAAGAGCCATTTGCAGGTAAAACTCCAATTATTATGAACATACACAACACAATTCTTCTTCTTATGCAAATAACCAACAAGATTTGTCTATCTTTTGTTCCGGTGCTTTTCCCCTATCTTGGTTTATTCTCTTCAGTTTAATCTCCATTTCAACTGATAGAATACAAACTCAGATCCGTAGAATGTCCAACAATAAATATATATATATATATATATATCAAAGTTTAATTCGTATGTTTCTTTGAAAAAGTATCTATAGATCTCTTCTAGGAGCACTTTTTATAGTATAATGCCCACCGACATGAAGTTCATCATCATCATCATCATCTTCTTCTTCTTCTCTATGTTTCAGAATTCAGAAAGAGAAAATCACAAACCCAAAATCTGTCATATAGAATTATAAGAAGAAAGAAGCATTTTCCCCGGGGGGGGGGGGTCATATTGGGTCTAATCTCGAAGAAGAGATTGCACAGTAGTCGAGAAACCGCAGCAGTTGAATGAATAGGATGAATTTAAAGATAGGGAAAGGGAGAGAGTAGTTAGCTTTTAAGAGAGAGAAACAATGGGGAAAGAGAGAGAGAGAGATATTATAAAAAAAAAAAAAAAGAAATCAGGGGAGGGGACAAAAGTAGTCATCATTGCTCAATAATAATACAATCCCTCAATAGCTAACCTCTTCAGACATCAACCTCGTGGTCTATATTATATAAAATTTCAACACACCAGTTCCAAGGCAGACCCAGAAAACCACACACACACACACATATATATATATAATATAATATAATGTATGTGTCTGCATATTATGTTTGTATTTGTAACTCTATTATACAAAGGAAAAGCAAAAAGTGTAGGAAAGGACTTTCAAAGAGGTCCTTTTGTGTATATTTCAGACAAACACACACACACACACACACATATATATATATATATATATATGAAGTTCCGTTTCAGTGTCTTAATTAGATTTTAATTTCTATACATACGACTACCTATTAAATATATAAAATTGGGTTGTCAAAAAATGCTATTTTTTTTTATGTTTTCATTTTGTTAAAGTAAATTTATTTCTTAGTTTTGTAATTCTTAATTAAGGCAAGATTTTCCGATTACTTTTTGCAGATGTATCGAACTGTTAAGACCACTAACAAGCCTGCAGCTTCCTCAGGTACATACATACATATACATATATGATATACATATATACATATATGTATGTGTGTGTGTCAGTGTGTACATGTCTTTGTATTGATCTGATCATTTCCACTACTGTCTCCTTTTGACTAAAAAAATTTAAAACCCTAATTGGTGACGAGGCTCAGTCTCATACATTTTCTGCTACTTTTTCATTTTAGTTTTGCAATTAATACAACATCCTAATTTTACTTTATCCAAAAATACAACAACATCCTTTTATATTTAATTTGACTAAAACCCTTACATATTAGTATATATATATTCTTAATATACTTCTTTTCATTATAGAGAAGCTGTAGTTTCAAACTACTGTGTTTTTTTTTTTAATTTTCTTATTGCATTGTTTTTTACATATAATAATCGGTATGTTATCCTTCTTTTGTTCCAATAAGCTTCGGTCTTTTATAACATTAATAATGATTATATATGTATATAAACATTGTTCATTCAAAAGTTTAGGATATTTTTCCTTATTTTATTGCAATTAGTTCAGTCTTTTTTTTTGTAATCGCATTTTCCAATTTGGGGTCTTTGGATTCTTATTTTAAGCAAGTCCTAGTCAGGCAAAATTAGGTAAAGCAAGAGTTCCCTTTTACTGCATGTCTTTACCAGAAATTTATGATTGGTCATTGGTTAGAACAAGAACCCTAAAAGGGCAAACATTTGAGATGTAACTTTAGATTTGGAAATTCTTGGAGGGGCAAATCAGATGGGTCTGTGGAGGAAGATATCCCCACTTGTGGAAATGGAGATCAAAGGGCTCAATCTGATGCCTCTCTTCAGCAAGAAATTGACCTCACTTCCACCAATTCCACTCCTCTCTGGAGTAATTCCTCAAGGTACATATATATACATATACGTATACATGCATACGCATATACACACATACACACGTAAAATCGACGTTTACGTTTACCATATCTGAAAGGGTTGGCCAGTGATGCATCGATCTGCGCTTCGTATCTCAAGAAGTAATAGATTGGTTCGATCTGCATTTGTTTCAAGACCACCATTGATTCCTCATTCACTAGCTAATTTGTTAATGGATAAATCGAGTTTAAGCATCAAGGCATCGATTCTTTCATATTACGGAAAAAGGGGGGGGGGGGGGAATTGATACCCTTTTGTCGTACTAATTGTATAAAAAAAGGCATGAACTCTAATGTATGTTATGTATGTTCATGCATGCAATCACCAGGGAGGCATGCTCAAGCGACATTGATATGATGAGAGGAGAAACATCAACATCATTCAGTCACCAACAAATATCGACAATACAAGCCGAGGTAATTAATGTTTGGATCTCGTAAAACAAGATTCACATATATATAATTAATTAATCAATTAATTAATTAATTAATTGTTTTGTATAGAATCGTATCTCAAGTGATGAAGCAAATTATAAGTGTGGAGGAGGTCACAGCAAAAACAATCCGAGTCTGGAGTTCACTTTAGGCAGACCAGATTGGCACCGAAAATGAATTTTGATATACACTCAACCGTGGATGGATTGATATTGATAGTTTTTTTTAAATTAATTTTTCCGTGTGATCATCGATTATAAAAAAAAAAGCTTGACGAGATTGGAAAATCACCACAAATGTGTGAAGTTTGGTTCTTTTGGAAGTCTTCTTTTGGGATAGAGGGTTTTATGTATTTAGGACCACGACCACCCATGTTTCTTTTTTTATAATTTGTGTGGGGCTTTATTAATAATGTTCCATGCGTAGAGGGATACAATCTTCACATATTTATGTTCCATATTGTACCTATATATATATATATATATGCGTGTGCATGCATATATATATGAAAGTTTGGATTTTTTTCATAGATATTCTCATTCACAAGTACACAAACCGAACTTGGTTAAATGTAATAATGTCTGAAAGACAAAAAATGGAGTGACTGTACAACGGTAATAAAAACAGGTTCTAAAATCAAGATCAGATCTAAGGGTTCGGCTTTGGGCTTCAAGACAGAGACAGGAGATTTATGTATTACTGCTCCGTGCCCTTCTTGTACCGTCACGAGTCCGGAGATGAAACTGAAACAGCATCCATCGTTGTTGAGAGGTTTTCTATTATTCAACAAGCAATTATTTCTTTTGAAGGAAAAATACAACAAAAAGGGTGATCAGTTCTGTCACACCTCAGTACCAAATGCTTGAGAGGTTTAAAAAGAGGAAGAAGATTGAATTTACAGATTCTTCATGAATCGAATATCTATCCTCATCCTCCTCACACACATATATATATATAATATAATATAATGTATGTGTCTGCATATTATGTTTGTATTTGTAACTCTGAACATCTGAAGAGAAAAGACAGAAGATCTTTTACCAGATTGGCGTTGGCGGTCTTGTCTCAGACACAGAGAACCTTCTGGGTTTTAGCAGCTGATGGTGTCTCAACAAGTTCATCCTCAGATGACAAGTTTGTCGATGCCGACGATCCCAGCAGATTCCCGAGCTGTGTTTCTTCTGGATTCATCGACGTGAATACCCGCTGCATCGGATGATCAAACTTACAACTTGGACCGAACTTGCAGATTCCGTAACGAGAATAGAATCCGCATAGTGGTTCTCCCTGTCATATCCATAAACACCCAGATAAAACTTACTCCAGAGACATGTCTGAAATGAGTTCATAGGGTTACCGAAAGATACAGACAACTCATCGGAGTATATATATATATATAGTGAGGAGGAATGCTTTGGCAGGTATTAGCGGTGAGGAAGCTTACCGGTCGCAGTGGAAGTCCTATAGGACTCAAGACACAGTCTGGAGCAGGGTTTTGCCTGTTTCGAGGATGATGAAATTTGCAAACTGAACCGAATTTGCAATCTCCAGTCTTCATGTAAAACTGGCACTCAGGTTGGCCGGGTTTTTCAGGGAAAACATTCTCCCTCGGCAATGCGTAAAACCCCGACTCTTTCGCCTCATTCTGCAGTAGATCTCTGTAGTTGTGATCATTTCCTGCCACTTGATTTCGACTTCCAGATGAATAAACTGAGCCAAGCTGACCCTGGCAAAACGGAAGGTCGGCACATACTCAGCAGAAACTAAGAGCAGGTCACAGAAATCAGGTATCTCCATGCATGAGAATTTTATCTATGTACTCAGATGATTCAGTGACAATCGTATAATTACCTCGAGAAAGAGGAAACGATTCTAACTATATCCAGTGGCCAGCCCAAAAATCTCGAAACAAATGTACACAAAAATGTAATGGTTATGCATGTTGCTTGGGGGATATAGCAAAACTTACGCTGTAAGTGTTCCATCCTTGAACCGACACCATGCCCTGAGGCAAAACTAACGAGGCAAAGCTAGAACTAGAAGGATCTTGCCATGGTGGGTTGGCAATAAAAGACGCTCTAGACCAAGAATATGACTGCTGACCAGCAGAAGGAGATTGGACTGCAGGGTAAACTGAGGAACCACGAAGGGGAGCCATCAAGTTTGTGGGCGGAGGGTGGTTGAATTTACAAGTGCTCCCAAATTTACAGTGTCCAGTTCTTAAATAATAAGCACAATCAACCTCATTCTGCACATGAAGCAAAAAAAAAAAAAAAAAAAAAATCAGAAAAGACAGAAATCACCTGTATCTACTGGAAGTTAACTTTCAACAAAACAGAAATTGCCTATCCTCGAAGATAACGGGGGAAGTTTCAACATAACTAAATTGCCTATACCATGCTATTAACATCATCTTAGGTCAGTTTGCACAACGAGAATATCTTATATCCTAAAATGTACTTCTTTTTTTGGGTAAGAAGGAACAGACCCGAGGATGGAGAACACAAAGATCAAAACATTAAGGTAAATACATATTATGTATGAATAATGAAACTGGAAAGTAGGTATGTACATACAGGGCGTATAGGGTAGCCTAACGCATTTAGCGAAACATTTCCAGCAATCCCAACTTTGTTCCTAGGATGATGGAACTTGCACGTCACTCCAAACTTGCATGTTCCTGTCTTAAGATAGTACTGCAGGCCAACATTCGGAAGATAAGTTAACCAACATGTTAAGTGATTTATCTAAATTCCAAGTCAAATACTGCAGGAGCAACTTGCATTCATTCTTAAAGTTTCTGAGATCCAATAACAACACAGAACATGGAATTATGGTAGAGAATAAGGACAGTAATGAAGTATATCCTTTTTTATTCGGACATTCCTCTAAATCTCGCAAAGTTCATCTATCTGTCAGTGTAAACTGGATGGTCACCTGGCATTCGGGCTGACCGATCCTTTCCGGGTATTCTCCCTTCATCCTAGCCGTGGCTATAGCCTAGAATCAGACAATACAGTACTCAGCAATATAGACAAACAACTACCATATAGCTAACCATAAGAGGTAAGAACCATCATCTAAGCGACAAGATGAGAATGAAGAAAGGGATTCCAAAGGTGAATGTAAGCCAGCGAATTGCCAAACATCATCGTGATCAGGAAATAACATAGACCTCGTACCAGATTGCGGTCGCGGGGATGATTGAATCGGCACGTCGAACCAAACCTACAAAGCCCAGTCCTAATGTAATAAGCGCAATCCGGCTCCCCTGGCCGATCCGGATATGCCCCGCCTTCCATTGTTTCATCTGAACTCAAATTCATTTGCCACATTGCATCTGATCACGCCCAAAAAGAAAAGGAAAAACAATTCATGATCACTCGATCACTTTCGCCGCCCGAATTCCGATCAACTCGCAACAAATTCGAATAAACAGGAAACTTGGCCATTGGGTCAAAGGGGAAAGAAAAACCTTGGTTTAGCAACGGCAATAGAGAGGTTCCAGATATGCGGGACATGGAAACTCCGGCGTCTAAATCCATGGACGTGGAAAATTACGAGGATGAGCAGCAAAAGCCACCATTTCCGTCACTCTAGAGATCCGCCGAAGAGACCCCACATCGTTGCCGGAATCTTCTTCCTCCGATGGTGGGGAGAGTAAAAATGGCAACGAAGGGGGAAACCATCGAAATTGGAAAGAGAGAGAATGAGGAGAAGAAGAGGAACGTCCCCCGTGTAGAGAGAGAAAGTGGAGTAAAGCGTTCTCGTCTCCCCTCCACACAAAAGAAAATAAATATACGAAGGGATTTTACTAACAATTTTGAAATGACCAAAATACCACTATATTTTCCCACACAGAATATCGATATGGACAAATTTATACACAAATATGACATTTGCAAAGTGTCCACTGTCCACATAAAAAGAGTGAAGTGACACATAAATAATGCTGATACAGAATAAGTTCCATTGCAGAATAAAAAACATGTTTCTTCTTTCTTCCGTGTGTAGAAACACCGGCTGAATTAATTCCTGAACTCCATAAGCTTTCTGAAAACGTTATTTGATAAGAAAAACATTCAAGGTATTTCAAGTAGCTAACCTTCGGAATGAGGGGGAGGCTTCACGGTGCATTCAACGCCCTGGAGGAGCGGGCCTTTGCTCTCTCTGTCGCCTTTATCCTATTAGCTTCCGTTCTTGCTTTCTGCTCCTCCGTGACGCCTTTCTCCATTGCCTTCAACCTATTTGATGTATTTGATGTCTCCATTTGCCTTCAATGAACACGCAATGATCTCAATGGAGAATAAATAAAACACATGATGAACCAAAATTTAATTGGGGAGCAATCATGATCTTAGTGTGGTTGTTATGTGGCACAGATGCAGTATTAGATTCTTATATAAGTAATGCTGAATCGCTCGTTAAAACTTTATTATTTTTTTCATCGCAAGACTTTTGAGTATGAAGATTGACTTACATCCATGGCATTATCATGTATCTCATTCACCATGACATCCGGAAAAGCATCAGCATCGGCGCTAGTTGATGGCATATTCACGGGGTCAGGACTTGGCCAATTCAATTCTTGGTTACCTGCAACTCTTAAGACAGAAATCTGAGTTTCGCCAATAAACGTTAAATGCTTACAATGTTATCGCCCGACGTTAGAAGCGCCGTCTCAAACAGCAGATGCACGAGATCCTTCACCGACTTATCGTTCTTATCCTCATCGGCTCTCTTCCTCAGCTCGTCCATTATCGGATTCTCCGGGTTAATCTCCATCGTCTTCTTGCTCGACATGTACCCCGCCATGCTGCTATCCCTCAGCGCCTGTGCCTTCATTATCCTCTCCATGTTGGCCGTCCATCCATACTCTCCCGTCACCAGACAGCACGGGGAATCCACCACACGGTCCGACACAACCACTTTCTCGAACTTGTCCCCCAGCACATCCTTTATTACCTTGCACAGACCCTCAAACTTCTCCTTCAGTTCCTCCTTCCTCTTCTTCTCGTCCTCTGACTCGTCCAGTTTCAGCCCCTTCTTTGTGGCAGAGACGAGTTTCTTCCCCTCGAATTCCTTCAGCTGCCTGACCGCATACTCATCAATGGCGTCGACCATGTACAGGACTTCATATCCCTTCTTCTTCAGCTTCTCGAGGAAAGGGGAGTTCTCCACGGCCTTTTTGCTCTCGCCCGTGATGTAGTAAATGTCCTGTTGCCCTTCCTTCATTCTCGTCACGTAATCCTTGAGACTCGTCAGCTCGTCTCCGCTCTTTGTGGAGTGGTATCGGGGCAACTCAGCAATCTTCGTCCTGTTCTGGGAATCCTCGTGGATACCAAGCTTGAGGTTCTTGGAGAACGCCTCGTAGAACTTGTTGTAGTCTTCATTGGGGGCCTCCTCTTCATTGCTTCAAATTAAAAACAAAAACCAAAACAGAAACCCAAAAGTTTGTTTGATACGTGAATTTTTTTTTTTGAAAAGAAAAAGCTTAGTCGACTTCCTCCATCTTGCTTCCATCGGCCTCAGCGTCATCTTCAAGCGGAGGCATGTCGTCGGCCTCAGTCTCACCCGCTTCATCGTCAATGCTCAGACCGAGTTTCAACATCCTATGGATCCTGCTCCCGAACGTATTCGGGTCGTCCATCCCTCGGGCAATCGCTGATGTGACTCAAAAGAACAAGTCAGAAAATTTCCTAGTTTTGTAAAATCATATAGCAGAGTTGTGTCCAAAATATCCTCACCCTCATTAAGGTGCCAATCCTTACACAGGAATCAACTCAATAAGCATCATGAATCATCAAATAAATTCCCATGATATGTTTTTGCCAAGTCATATATACATAATACGCAAGGGGTATTTGCTACATTCGCTGAATCAACCATACTTCAGAACCAAAAATGTTCTCTCCAAGAGAATGGAAGATCACTGCAAATTAACAGCTCCAGAAATTAAGCACAATGAAACCACATCAAATGCTTGCGCTTTTGTATTCATTCTTATCATTATTGTTCTCAATAATATATAATTTACCACCAGTTGACGATCCTGGCGTGGAAACATTGTCATTGCTTCTCTTATACTTATGCAGCAAATCCAAGATTAAGGAACACTCAGATATGAAAACTCGGTGGAAAAGCAACGTGTTCATATACCTTGATGATCATCAGAGGGACCAATGTCTTCAATCGTACTTTCATGCAATTTGGTAGGATCAACTCCACTGGCGACCCTTTCTCTTAGTTCCCTTATGCACATCTAAAAAGAACCAGAACACATAAGTTTTAAAAAAGACATATACTCTTAGTTCCCCAGATAGAGTCTAAGCATGGCAGTGAAGTTAAGGTGAATGTATGAGGCAAATTAACAGCATCACACCATGTCAGCACAGTGATCATACACCACAACAGGCAACAAGAATTCACAAGATAGGAAACACGAGCAAGTAAGTAGCTTAACACGCGCTGTGGCAGCGACCTGGTGAACCTTACGCACAAACTGATCAAAAGAATAGTATGGGAGCAAATGTGAGTGCCATTCACTGTACAACTGTATCAAGTTCCCCAAGTCGCTCACCTATCACACGATACAAAAAATCACAGAGAGACGCGAGATTATATTCTGATCAAAATCGTTTAGACGAACACATACCCCAAAATTCGCAATCGTCAAATGAGAAAATAGACGAAAGTACAAAACCCCATTATATTGACGAAAAAAGCAGCAAATTCAAGTAAAAGACAGTCATAATCGGCAAGTCGAAGGGGGAAATGACTCGCCTCTCGGCCTCGTCCGGGTACTTGAAGGATCGAGGAAAATAGCGGAGAATGTAGCCGAGTCCATCGTCGGAGAGAAGCAAATCAGGAGTCAGCTAAGGCCTTGGCGCTCTCGTTTTCGGAACTTTAGGAACCGGCACGGCGGAGGAGGAACTCCGGGGGACATTGTTAGGGTTTTGAGAAGAAGAGGAAGCGGGATTGCCGGAGTTGGGTGCAGAGGAATGGCAATCGCGAGACCAGTGGCCGGGACGACCGCATTTGAAGCAACCCGTCGGAGCTGAATTCACGTTCTTCTCCATTGTCGTTCACCTCCGATCACTGTGGAATTGAGAATTGAGAATTGAGAATTGAGATTTCATTTCATCGGTTTATTTTCTCATTATGGCGCGAAAATTGAGGTCACTGGGCCGGTAAGGTCCGGGCCTAACGTATGCGGGCCGACGAAAAATGGGCTTTTATATTCTCTTGTTTTCTTTTTGCCCGCCATTTTTCTTTTCCATTTTGGTTTTTTTATATAAGAAAGTGTAAAAAGAAAATGGAAGGAAGTGTCTCATCTCTTCGAAAGCTGGTCGTCGACTCGTCGTGGTATTCTTTTGACGTGGGACAAGCTGTATACAACAAATATACAAGAATTAAATAATTATTACAATAATAATAAATTAATAATAATAATCGATTATTATTTTGTAAATTTGTAATCATACTGAATCGGTAATACCTCGAATCTAACAAGTTAGAACCCTTCCTACCTTACATAATTAATGTAGACACAAAACTGAAGTGTGAGAACTACAAATACAAAAAGACAAGAGACAAAAGACGAAGCACATTCCTCCTAGAGAGATCACAAGCCTTTACTGCGCTGGTCTTCGGCCATCTTCTTCTTGATCTCATGAGCTGTGTTGAAAATGCCCTGTGTCGGCTGGTTACACACGAAACATTTCCCGGAGCACCGGCCTCTGTGAGATTTTCCGGTGGCCGTCGACGGTCTCGACTGACAAAGGCGTAGACTACCTCGGCATATCGTTCCCCGAGACGATTTTCTCGTTTGACACGATCCGTAAGTTCACGCAGTCTCAGGCCGTGTTCTTGGAGGCCACGCTCGTGATGCTTCTCTCCTGGTTCGTCTTCTGCTTCTTCCTCAGGTTCACCAAGCTCCGCGACGGCCAAAACGTCTGGTTCAATCTCCGATGGTGGGTTAGCCGTCTCGATGTCTGCTTCGCCACCAGGCACTGGCTCGTCAGTACCCAATTTCTTCTTCCGACGCCTCTTGTTTCGTAGTTTCTTCACGAGCTGGGTTTTGGATACCCATTGAGTTTCTGGGTTTTTAGGGTAACTTGCTTTTTCACTAGCAGGACGATCAGCAGGTGGTGAAGAAACGAAAAACGGAACTGGGTGGGACTTTATCTGTCGCGAGTTGGATTCTCTTCATTGGCTTATTCGCTGCGTGAGTTTTGATCTTATGAAAACTTCGAATTCAATGTGTTCTTGATTCGATGAGCGAGAAAGTGACTTGCTTTTCAGTTCTTTAACAGGCTTCTTTACCAAATCATTACCAAGAGAACCATCGAGGTTCATAATGTGAGAGCTTCCAATTCCCCAGATTTAGTCTCCTTCGAAAACGATTTGGAGTTCAACATTACTACCATTTCTGCTATGAGCTGCTTGAACTTGCGTGGAATTGGGAATGTTGTCACGGGGAATCCTGGCTTCAGTGATTTCAAAGCCACTTCCCTTTCCAGTTTTGGAAGTTATGCCTGTCAGAATACCACTCTTGGGCCAATGGTTAACTTCAAATGTACCAAATGCCGTCTCACTAGCGACTACATGTACATTTCCTGGCATTTCGTCGATCTTCCTGATGCCTCCGCTTCCGCTGTTGGATTTCAGTTTAACTTCACTGCAAAGAATGAAGCTAACAAGAAGCACATAAGCTTTGTTAGTGGCATTCTGAAAAATGGGAGCCTCTTTGATGATAGACCGGTTACCTTCCGTGGAACAGAGACAAACATATTGAAGTTTAACCTGTTCCCTCGTATTTACCATACTTTGCATGATCTAAAGCTTATACAACCTCTGTTCCACGAGTTCGCTCCCGGTACAAATTACCGAGACACCTCACAGCTTCAGACATCCCTTGGGAGGTCAAGTGATGGTATAGTCAACACCACTTTGTTCATCAATTATCTCTCGGCCTACGTTGTTGAGGTAGATCATGAAAATATACTGGGTCCTGGTAAGCACTCTTCCCCTGTGGCTATTTTTTGCAAATCTTGAAATTTATTGGTCAGGTTAACTTTGCTTTGAAATGCTACCATATTTGGCTTCTGATTGTATGTGATAACATTGAGATATATCACATTCATTTGTGGTCTATCGGGTTAACTTTGCTTTGGAACTTTGGCTTGGGCTTCTGATACCATTTTAAAACTGATTGTATCCTTCTAGGTTGAGTTCAACACAAGGGTCTGGTTTTCTTGTCTTAAAGCTAAAATCTTAGTTGCTGCGATGGTACTTATGGTGTTAAGGTTTTTGGCATTCTATCATATGGAAGCTCTTTGTTTTTTTATTGTCTTGCAGTCAGCTTCCTTGCGGATCTTGGTGGTCTATATTGCATTAGCATTGGCATATTTTTCTACCTGCTTGTTCAGGTATGGGGCCTTTCCTTTTTATTCACTTCCTCTCCCTCTTTATGTCTTTTTCATGCCTTTCCCTCACTTTTGGATTTCGATACTTCAACCAATTGGTGTTCCAGAAGGGCCGACTTGGCTCAGTATTTACCGTGGGGTTTGAGGTCGTGGGTTCGAATCCGTCTCTCTACATAAAATGTAGGGGCAAGACGGCCTAGTATATTCCCTTCCCCAACACCCCCACTAGATGGGGATACGAATTGGGTTGGTCCTTTAAACCAATTGGTGTTCCATAGGATATATTGACATGCATTTTTCTACTGATAGGATCGTTGAAAGAGCTAGAACTTTTCAAACTCCAGCCTGATGCAGCACTATAAACGATGAAACTAAAACTTTTCAAAAGCTTTCCACTCTTTCTTGGATTGATCTCGGATGGATTGTAACTTGTAACTTGGTGTTTTGAATAGTGTGAGTACAGGATCAAGAGGCTGAGGAGTGAAGATGCCACTTTAAGAAGGATAAGGAGTCGTAGGAAAGCTCTAGAACACTGGCATAAAGTAATTGTTCCCATTAGAAGCTTTTCATTTTCCCCTATATCTTGTTCTTCTTTGTTGTCTTGTCATTTGTTGCTCATAAGAATACTCTTAAATTAGCTGAGAAGATATGTTGCGTACACGTGGGGTTGCAGCCTGTTGGATGATGTCGTCAAAGCCAAAAAGGGATCTAGTTTTAGTTGTTTATTGAGCCGTCCAGCCTCTCGTGAAACGTCGAATTTGGAAAGTGGGTCATCAAGAAAAGTGGGGCAGCATTCTACCAATTTCAGCAAGAAGCATAGTGTAGAAGATATTACGAAGGTAACTATCTCCTTGATTTTATCTTTCTTCGGAACATGTCTGCCTCTCAGATCCTATTGTATTTTTTCAGAATGTCGCTTCAGAACCTGCAGGGCAAGAAGTGAGATCTTTTCAAACTGATACTTCTTTGGATCATGGAGATGATCACTTGAATAACAAGGTAGAACCCTTAACAGATTGCTGTCCCAACATGCATTCTGTTTCTGTAACCCATCTATATCAAAGAAGGGTCACTCATTACATTCCCTATTCTTCATTCCTCCCTCCTTTACTTTACTTTTACTGTATGTTTATTTATATGCCTGTGAAAGAAATTAAGTATTGATGGCATGGAGAGTTTGATCAGCTTTTGGTTCCTTTGGCAGAATCTAGAAGCAAAAGCTGATGGCAATGCTTGTCAGCTTCATGCACTTTCTCATACTCGTGATATAATTCCTCCACCTCCTCCAATGGGTAATGGCCTACACTCTCTTTCCTTGTTACTATTGTATATTTCACAGAAGATATATCTTCTCCTTTGTACATTACATACATCCATTTGTGAAAAGTGGGGCTGCCTGCCTGTTGTGCCATAGAATGTTTTGATCTTTGATTCAGAATTAGAAGAGGCACCAGGTTTAGGGTTTAGGGCATAGAAACTGTTCATCGGTTTAGAGTGGTTTAATCTGAAAACGTATGGGTCGGGGTTTAAACGCTGCAGAATTCAACGAGGAGTGTGGTTCAGAAGTGGATGCAGCCGACATCAAGAAGAAACTCCGACTTCTCCATGACTACAACCTACTGCTTGGGGAAAAGCTGATGAACACTCAGTCTCAGCTCGAGGCTCTTGCTTCCCGATTTCCATCTTCTGACATCGGCTGAAAATCGTTCTAGAAAATGTTCTGAGTTCTCTTCCTCGATGTCCTAGATTGACTTCTGTTCTTGGTATACTCTCTTGTAATTTAGACCCGAAATTTCGTTTTAGAACAAATGGAAATGGTAACACAGTAACAATGGTGTCTAAAAAGGAAAAGCATCAATGTCCGAATCTATAACATGAACCTGAGAATCCATCCACTGAAAACAGGATAAGATGTTCATCACATAAGTCTGACAAGACAAAGGTACGTTATTAAACCAAATTCGATATCAGAACTTTGAAAGCATATGACTTTAGCAATATCCGAAAGTTGCTGATCGTTATTTAAAGGAGGGACGAGAAAACGGGTCTAACCTCGTGATGATTTGTTAGTTATATGCTCGGGTTAGCCTCAGTCCAGAGCTTGATCCACTTAGCCATGGCATCAGCCGCCTGTGCAAAGACAGGATCCGATGAACCCAACTGGTCTTTCAAGGCTTTGGCAAGCTCAAGAACACAATCTTGAACTGTGAGTGCTGTTTCGGGCAATCTCAAGAACTCGAAAAAGGAAACGCTTTTCTCCATCAGCTTCATCCCTTCCCACTCTTTCATCAAG